ACCTCAATCCTCACTGACCTTACACACACCTCAGCTGCAAAACAAATCCACAAATCTCTAAATCTGTGCCCACACCAGGTCCTCACCACCACAATGGACACCTTTAGATAGGACCTGTGTGCAGGGAGGTTCGAGACTCGGACATGTGCCCCCTCTCCAGATGCTTACTGTAGCGATTAGGATGGGGCCCAGAGCCCACCTGCTCCATCGCCCACTTCCTGTTTTTAATTCATGTCACTCACTCCTAAGTCAAGGAGGGGAAGGGGATTAGGTAAATGGACAGACAACCTGGGACAGTTTAGGAATATATAGTGAGAGCTAATAAATTCCAGATCCAAACTCAAACTCATACACAGATTTCATTCTTAATATTCTCTAAGCATTAAGTATCAAAAAGTGCTAATCAAATGTCAGCTGAGAATTTACTTATACAGTCCACATAAGATATTAACAAATCTTTTCTTGCAAAAAGAAACACAGAAAAGTCAGAACTTAATGAGTTTAGGGACTCATCAAGGGCCTGGGTTCAATTCAAGAAGAAAGAGAAAGGGGAGAGGAGAACTAATGTACTCGGGCAAGGTTGGTAAGCCAGGGAGGAAGGAAGAGGGAAAGAAATACTTCTTTTCTTACCCTTCATTACTCATTTTATTTTTGGGACCCTGCCAATGTTTTACATACTAACAAATTAAAATGACTGTGTTGAAAGTGGATACCAAAAACTTAGTGAAGAAGAAAGAAAAGAACTAATCCAAGATCTTTTTGACATTTACTTACCCCAAACTGAAAGCAAATGTTGAATTCCAGTTATTAGATTTGGGTGTTTGTTTTGCACTGTGTATAAACTGACAGTTCTAAAACTATACCTACGATTGCACATATAAGTGGATGCATTTAGAGCTTTGGGAACTGTATTTCTCACCCTCCTGAACTGGAGTTAATGCCCCCACCACCTGAGAGCCTCCTGCAGGAGGGAGGGAGCAGCTCGACTACCACATCCCTGCTGGCTCTGCTCCTGGTTCTCCTCAGCACAGGGCGGCAGAGTTGACAACCGAAGAACCAACCCCACTGAGGAGGAAGCCAACACCCAGGAGGAGACTCTTTCTCAGCACTGAAGCGTTACTCAGACACCAAGAGGGAGGCCTTGGGAAACAGGTGTGAAGGGGGGGAGAGGCACAGGGGTCTCCCGAGATCCTGAGGAGCTCCTGCCTCCTCCCCAGGAAGACCCTGAGGCCAGGATTCTGTGGTGGGGCCAGGAGTGGAGGCCGCGGCCCTCTGAGGGGTGAATCTGAAGGAGCAGGCGTTTAGTCCGCTCGTCTAATGAACTCTCACACCTCTGCCTGCCTCCAGCAGAACCCAGTGGTCTGTTTACCACAGGTCACTACCAGGGCAGCCCAAGTGTCTGCACTAAAATTAGACAAGGCGTTGCTCTGGTTAAGGGTGACTGGAGAGTGGTTCATAGGGTCAGTGGGTCTCCAGTTTGTATTTGACACCATTGTTGTCAATTGCGGACTTTACTGCTATGTCCAAGGCAACACAATTGTTGCTTGTCGATTGGTTTCCTCTGTATGCCAATATCCGGCTTGCATGGTGCTCATTTCTAAAGAACCAGGCACTGGGCCAAAGAAGCTACAAACCCCAGCACAAAACACAAACAAACCGAAAATAGAAACCTGAGAAGAAAAGACAACAAAATCCATCCAAAAGCTCCCAACTCTGTCAAAGGCAATCCAGGGGATCAGCAGGAAGGAAGTCGTAGCCCACACAGGAGAAAAGTCTGAAATGGTATCAATGGAGATAAAACAGCTCAAAACTGTGCCTGGAAAATTCAAAGAAGATATAACCAAATAGAGCATGACCCTAAAGAAACAAATGATCGGCAAGTCAGAGAAGACAATAATAAATCTAGTGGAGCTAAAGAAAGTGATGCAAAGCAAGGGCCAGGGATTTAGCTCAGTGGTTCCACTGCTTGCCTTGCAAATGCAAGGTCCCGAGTTTGATCCCTGTACCAAAAAAAAAAAAGGAAGAAAAAAAGTGATGCAAAAGACAAATGCCTAGCATAGAAAAGAAATAGAGTCCATAAAGACCTTCCAGACAAATCCAGGGGATTAAACACAGGACTGAAAGTAGGGGCAGCGGAAGAGACCGATGTGAGGGCAGAGTATCAGATCAATGATCAATTCCGAGAAATGCCGAAAGACAAGGAAATGTGAAAACCAAGCCCAACTGCTGCTCGTGACTCAAAGAAGACTAATAGGAATTAATGAAAAATCAGAAGACAGCACAAAGGGCATAAATAAACTTTTTACAGAAGTAATAGCAGAAGACTTTCCAGACATGGAAAAAGAATTTAACATAGAGAGAACTATGGCACACAGAACCCCAAATAGCTATGATCAGAAAAAAACTACTCCATGCTACACAATAATCATACCAGAAATCCAACACAAGAACACAATCTCATGTTCTCACTGGCTTACACCACCAATGCAGGCCATGACTCTGTCACTGACCAATGACTGCGCCAAGGAGTGACGTGAACCACCAGTGCTACACATGTGACTGTGCCATCAGGCAGCTTGTACTACTGTTGGTACAAATGGATCTAATCACTTTTATTAGCATTTTTACAGACAAAATTAATAAAAAGTCTTTAAATGGACTGAATCTAGTTAGTTGCTTGAATTTGAAAAATTATTGCCCAAATATAAATATGGTGTATATAATATGCATTTACAAGCATTGTACCACAAATTAGCTATATCAACACTTTTATACCATTTTAAGGTTTTCCTTGAGGAATTGCAATGTGATGACACTTGATCTTCTAAATCAATTCTTTTATTTGCATTATTGTATTCAAAGACAAGATCAGGTTTTATGTTCCCTATGGTTCAAGCCATCCAAGGGGACAGTCACGCATGTACCACAGTGGTACAAGCCAGCGGGACAATCTAATTCAAAGCAGAGCTGCCCAGCAGAGAGCCATATGAATTACAGCCCCGTCATGATTGTGTTATAACCTATTAGAGAAAAGCAACAAATCACCTATAAAGGAAAACTCACCAGAATTACAACAGACTTCTCAATGCAAATCTTAAAGAAAAGGAGATCTTAAAATGAAGTATCTCAAGCCCTAAAAGAAAACAGCTGCCAACTCAAGACTGATATGTCCTGGAAAATTAGCTTTCAAAATTGATAGAGAAATAAGATATTTTCATGATAAAGAGCACCTAAAGAAATTCATGACCACCAAATCAACACTCCCACAAATTCTAAAGGACAACCTAGAAAGAGACAGTGAAGTTAACAATGACAAAAGGCCCAGTAGAATGAATGCATCACATAGGGCTAGCAATTAAGTTGAAGGGGAGGAAAACAAAATAGCAATAAGAAAATAATACAATGAAAGGAATATGTCAATACCTACCAATTATAACTATTAATGTGAATGGACTCACTTGGCCAAAGATACAGATTAGCAGAATGGATCAAGAAACAAATCCAATGGTATGTTGCATAAAAGAAATATATTTAACACAAAAAGAAATTCATAGACTAAAAATCAAAGGCTAGAAAACAGTATTCCCTACAGTGAAAACCTGAAAACAAGCAGGTGTAGCAATCCTATTTTCAGACGAAGTGGAATTTAATCCAAAGCTGATCAAAAGAGGCAAAGAAGGGCCGGGGATTTAGTTCAGTGGTTCCGGCACCTGCCCTGCAAGCACAAGGTCCTGAGTTCGATCCCCCGTGCCAAAAAAAAAAAGAGGCAAAGAAAGACATTACATATTGGTTAACAAAACTATCCAACAGGAAGAGATAACAATTATAAACATATATGCACCAAACTATGGTGCACCCAACTTTATAAAACAAACACTGTGGACATGAAAGATCGTACAAACCTCAGTACAATTACATGGAGGGGGACCTCAATACCCTACTATCACAAATCAATCAACTAAACAAAAAAATCAACAAAGAAATGCCAGAGTTGAACTAAACCTTTGAACAAATGGGCTTAATAGATATCTATAGTGCTCTGCCCAAGAACAACAGAATACACATTCTTTTCCACAGCACATGGTACTGTCTCCAGAATAGACCACATATGAGCTAATAAAACATGCTTAAGTAGATGCAAAAGAATCAAAATTAGTCCATGCATGTTATAAAATCAAATGCAATGAAACTAGAAATCAATAGCAAAAGAAACCACAGAAGTCATGGAAATTAAACAACATACTCTTGCATAATCAATGGAAACAAAGGAAGAAATGAAGAAATAAGACTGTTCCTAGAATTAAATGATAATGCCAATAGAACATACTAGAGTTTATAGGACACAATGAAAGCAGACCTATAGGGGCCATTTATAGCTGAGAATGCTTACATCAAAAAAAACAGAATGAGCCCAAATAAATAACCTAATAACCTTTTCTAGGACATCTTAAAGTCCTAGAAAAGTGAGATCAACTCAAATCCAGAGCTTGTACAAGAAAGGAAGTTATAAAGATCAGTGAAGATATCAATGAAATGGAGATTAAAAAACAATACAAAGAATCAATGAATTGAAGAGTTAGTTCTTTGAAAGAATAAACAAAATGAACAAATCCTTAGCCAAATAAAGAGGAAAGAAAAGATACAAGTCAATGCAATTAGAAATGAGAAGGGTTTTCACCTTTCATCACAGTGGAGACTTCCAAAATCCAGAAAATTACTAGCAACTACTTCACAACCTATATGCCAAAAAATTGGAGAACTCAGAAGAAATAGAGAGATTCCTAGATAGATAGGAATTACCAAAACTGAAGCACAAAGACTTTAAAATCTTGAATAATCCAATAACAGGCAATAAAATTGAAGCAGTAATTAAAAACCTACCAATCAAGAAAAGCCCAGGATTTGATGGACTCACTGCCAAATTCTATAAGAATTTCAGGGAAGATCTAACACCAATACTCCGCAAATGCTTTGATGAAATCAAGAGGGAAAGTCTACTCCCAAAATCATTCTTGAAAGCTAGCATTACTCCGATCCCAAAACTAGACAAAGATCCACCCAAAAAAACAGAACTACAGGCCAAGCTCTCTAATGAACATAGATGAAAAATATTCAAAAAGATATTGGCAAACAATGTTACAAATCATCAAAGAAACTTACACCATGACTGAGCAGGCCATGGGACTCAACACACCCAAATCAATACATATAGTCCATCACATGAACAGAAGCAAGGACAAAAATCACAGGATCCTCTCAATAAATAGAAAAAGCCTTTTACAAAATCCAAACTCCATTTATGATAAAAACCCTGAAGAAAAAAGGTATAGAAGGACCTTATCTCAATCTGATAAAGCCATTTACTACAAACCTACTTCCAACATCATGTCAAATGGGGAGAAACTGAAAGCTTTTTCTGTAAAATCAGGAACAAGACAAGGATGTCTATTATGTCCACTCCTGTTCAACACAGTCCTCAAAACATAGCCCGAGCAGTCAGGCAAGAGAAAGAAATAAAGAGATACAATAGGAAAGGATGAAGTCAATGTATTGTTATTTGCAGATGACATCATCTGCAGCTGGATTCGGGCAGGCACATGGGCAACCCATGCCGGTTACCGCTGGTGGCTCTGCCTTCTGTGCATGGTGCTGAGGGTCCTCAGTGAAGGCCACGCCCAGAACAAGGGGCACAACCTGTAGGTCTGGTTGTGCATACATAAGTGACTTCAAGGTCACACGCTCAAGTGTTGACAGGCGTTCTGTGCGGAGGAAGAAGGAGTGGAGAGGAGCCAGAGGCGATTTTCAGAGTAGATTACATTACTCTTCTGACGGGACCCACGGCCCACAGCAGACACTCCCAGAATGAGCTCATCAAAACCATCTGACCTTCTGGCAAAGCCTGGCTCGTCCCATTTGCTTTGTCCACGGCCTTGCCTCTGGGCTTTGTCGGATCCTTCTTTTTTTCTAAATCTTTAACTGAAAAAAAGAATAGAAATACAGCAGCATGTTACATTCGGATCTAAAGGAAAACATTCAATGAATTTTACTAAAACCTTTGCAAGCTCTAAAAGCATTAGCAGAAATTAGCTCCGAGACAAGAACTCATCCCCAAATATCTGAACTGCTGTTACTCCCAGTTCATCATTCCGCATGTGTAGTTCACGATCACACTCCTCATGGGCACCTGGTGCCGTACACAACACATCCTCATCCCTTTTCCACCCCCTTCCCTCCCCTCCTCCCCCATCCCTTGATTTCTTTAAACTGCTGGATTTTTTTTTTCTTCAGCAAGGTTGTAAGATGCGAAAGACTCTTCATAACGACTTTGGTTGTGTATTTGCTCTGGGCAGATGTATCAAATAAACTTAACCCTTCAGAATGGCTGTAAAATGGGCCTGGTCATCCCCATCCCACACAAGGGAATGAAAAACCAGGAGGCTTAAACGTCTCACAGAGCCAGTGAGTGTTGGCCTAGGAGTCAAGCCACATCTGCAGGTCTCCAGACCTCGCCTATGAGCTGAGGCCCCATTCTAGAAAGATCTTAGCCACAAATACTCTCATTTGGAGCTGCTTTATCTGTAACAGCAGTGAAGAACCCCATAAATTTCCTTTCAAGCTTAAAAACCATGTTTCTGCTAATAAGCGAGGATCGTTCTCACTTAAATAAGGAAATATTCGGAGACCAAGAAGACTGCTGGCTGTTTCACAACGCAGCCCAGCCTGCACCGTTTGTCAACTCTGCACGCCTTCTCTGCTCCAAACCCCACGGCAGCTTCTCAGCATTGCTTGGCAGCTTAAGCCTTGAGGCCTTCGAGACGATTGCCAACTGTCAAGTTTCTGCACAGAGATGTCCTGTGAGAACACAGAAGCAGCCATGGCGAGATATTTCATCTACTTGTTACATTCATTGCATGGGGATTGCACGTCCATTGCAGGGGAAGCTCTGATTCCCTTGCTGTCTGCTGCAGGATACGGATCCATTCCTCTCTCTCTCCTGCCTCCATCTCTTTGCTGAGGGGGTTAATATTCAAAGCTTGCCAGGGACAAAGCATCCTAATTCTACTATTCCCATCCCTAACAATCTTCCTTGCCTTTCTGGTACCCAGAGATTAAATTCCAAGCTCTAATAGCAACAACAGCAAGATACTTCTAGGCCAACTGACCTAATTTGTTACGTCTAGTTTTTAAAATTGCATTCTTCAGCTTTGCTATAGCATTGGCACTTTGGATAACTCTTTTTTAAAAAATATTTTTTCTCAGTTTTCATAACGACATCACCCCGGTTCCCTCCTATCCCTCAAACCCTCCTTTATATTCTCATTCTTTGGATCCCTTTTCTACTTCCATTCCTGAAACATGACCATATGCTAAAATTGTCTTAACATCTCCACACACCCCGCCTGCAATGTCATCACCTCGCACTTTACTTTCTTGCCCTCGATGGAGAATTTCCACAGCTTTCGTCTTCAACCCTGGGCACACAGACATGGGCTGGGGTCCCAGTTTGCTTACATTTTCTAAGAAAAAACAAGTCTGCAATTTTAATATGAGAAAAATTGTGCTGAGCAAGGTTCCCAGTAGGAAAGGATTTAGAGGGGAATAACAACTTAGGAGGTGAGGCTTTGGAGAAACGTCACTGGGAAGGTGATGTGGACGGCAGACTGGAGATTTGGGTGAATTTTCCAGGCAGGGGTCAGCAAAACATCGCTGCCAAAAGGAAAAATGGGCACCTGAAATGAACATTTGCTGGAATAAACCATAACAGCAATATATAGATGAATAAGGAGAAAAATCAGTCACTTCAGAAGCTGGGGCAGTAGGTCACATAGGAAGTGTAACAGATGTGTTACACAAAGCTCTTATCCCCTTCATGAGGGGCAAAATAAGCAACAGACAGTCACAGACAAAGTGGCCTTGGTCACAGTAGTGCTGACTGTGCCTTCCTGTATGCTGGTGACATCAGTCTACACTATTCTTGCCACATGCCATCACCCTCATCTGCAAATGGGGAAACCAAGGCTGGAAAGGGTTGCATTGCTGTGGTGGATGTTGACTCATAATATCCACAGATCAAACCTGCTGCTACGGCTTGTATCTAGATGTCCCCCAAAGCCTGGAGCTCACAGGAGGGGCTTTTGGGAGTGACTGGATCCCCAGAGTGTGATACTTGATTAGTCCACAGATGAGGGTAAGAGCTGAGTGTGATGTTGGGCCTGGCCTGGAAGGAGAATATATAGATACATATCCTTTCTACTCCCTTGATGACTCGCTGCTTCCTGCCTACCCTGCCATGGACTGTTTCTCCTCTGCCATGACACCCTGTTTTTGAAGCTGACTATGGACTGAAACCTCTACAAACTATGAGCTGAAATAAACTCCTCCTTTAGTTTGTGGGTGTCAGGCACGGGGTCTTGGCAATGAGAAAAGTAACTAAAACACCTGCCTTTCTGTCTTTAAAATCCAAAGATTGTACCTTTTGTTTCCCTGTGTGTCTGAATACTGGACTTACAGAGAATCCGAACCCTGCACTAATTGCAAACCTCTATCCACAGCTTTGTCCCCAGTGTCCCCCTACATCCTCACTGTCCTGGATCCAACTCTGAAATGTTTCCAGGCAGACAAGACCAGGTTTTAGCTCCAGCTCGCAAGGAGCAAGAATGTAACTGAAATGCAAATGGAAAAGAAAAGAAAGCCACGCAGGCAAAGTTCTTTTCATTTCATTCTTAGAGATTATTATCTAAGCAGAACGTGTGCCTCTACCCTGCCAATAAAAACAACGCAGCTTAGGAACATGAGCTGCTTACATGTAACCTATCTCGCTAACCCACTAGACAGTTTCCCTCTGGTTCTCCATGGAGCCAAGAACTCTGAGGACAGATGAATTTTTCCCAAGGGCCTTGAACATTCACCACTGAGAAAGGGCTTCTGTTGGGCCGTGTTTCTTCTGCTGTTCAGTTGGCAGAGTGCTTGAAATATTCAACTGCAAAATTTTCATGCTTGAGTGAAATGGATCATTTTGCCTTCTCTCTTTTACTGTTTCTCATAGACTTTGAGAAAAATTATTTCTGTCACCTATGTAAGGATGCAAGGGACCAAAAAAATGATGTGCCAGTGGATGGGGAGAGGCTTGGTTTGTGCTGAAAATAACATAAAGAGCTTTTCCAGATCATCAGACATGAGTCTAAAATATTTCCTATCCTTTTTTCTTCCTTTGCTTCTTCCTTTCTTTCTTTCTCTTCCTTTCTTTCTTCTTTCTTTCTTTTTTTTTTTTTTTGTTAATTTATTTATTTATTCTGGTGCTTTCTGCCCCTCTGAGAAGCCCCCGCACACCCTACGTTTTCCATCCACACAGAGTACAATTCGCAAACCGGTTCAAGTCCACAGCTTCCCACGTCCGCCCTTCTCCAGTCACGACCATGGCAAACAGGACGGCTCCCTCTAGCACCTGCCCTGGTGACTCCATCTGCAGCTCTGCAAGTGTCAATCGACTGAGTGTCAGAAAGTGAAATCCCTGCTGGATGGGCTGTGTCACTGGTTGGGACTCTATGGAAGAGATGAGGCACCATCCTCCGGTTCTGCATACCGACTGGGCATTCACCTTCCGGGCTCGTGACACGCAGCTGTCACCCAGCGAGGAATGGAAGAATTTAAGCCTCACAAGCTTGTCAGGGACACGGAGATCAGAGTGTGGTAGGGTCCAACCTGAGGGGAGGCTCTGGACACTAAAAAGCACAGGGAAAGATAACTAAGGAAGGCTGGGGACACAGGTGGGGGGCATTTAACAACTAAAACTTAGAGAATAGAGAGGAACACAAGAAATGAGGAAAGGGAAGGGCAGAGAGAATAAGAGCTCATGAAAGTTTGAACATAAGCTAAGGAAAATCCGCAAATCTAAAAAACACCTAGGGCTCTGCCCCTGAGAATAAACACCACAACTCAGCTCCAGGGCCAGCGCTCCAAGAGCTGCCCACACTCACTTCTGAACTGGCCTTGCACCGGCTTGCTCTCCTTGTCTTTGTGGTATGCAATAATTTGAACTGTGTAGTTCTGCTCCGGCATAAGACCTTGAATAATTGCTTTAGTTGCAGTGTTTTGGAGATTCAGCTGATTGGTTTTTCCTCCTGTAATAAAACACAGAGAGAAATCAGTTCTAAGGAATATGGTTTACACATTGAGAAGTGTTATTAACCAGCAATCGACTTTAAAGGCAAAGCCTTTTTAAAATTTGTCTTTATTGTACTGCTGACGATGTACAATGTAATATTTTGGCATACATGCAAAGGGAAAGATATTTAAAAATACATGTCCGTGTGTATAGCACTTAATTGGAATATAATTTTCATTCTCGTTTTCAGCTGTGTATCTTTTGCATTAGATTAAGCCATTGTGTACATTAGGTAAAAGCACATGCACGAAAATCTGTCATCGTAACACACTATTACTTCTATAGCCAGGAGAAAGCACAGCATGAGATAATAGAGATTCAAGCTGGCCCAGGGCATCAGATCCACTCTCTGAGAAAGAGAATTCCACTTGAACGAGGAGGGAGAGACATGCAAGGCTGAGGGTAATCATCCGCCATGGAGCCCGTCCTGGCCTCTCTACAGCAGTGCAAAGCACCCCGGACACATGAGCTGTGTAACTATCTTCCATCTGGCCTCCACGGGTCCAGGGTGCTGCAGGAGCCACTCGGCACCTGGGTACTTCTGAGTTCACTTGATGCATAAAAAGATGTCAAACCCCATGATCTCTCCACCAAATCAGACTGATCCTAAGGCTTCCCCAAAGATGCTTGCTGATTATACATGTATCTTGTTTGCAATCATTATTGCATCTGAGGAAAGTAAAATTAATTTAAGATTTCTGTCCTCCCAATAGGCACAGAGAAAAGGGTCTGAAACTGGCAGAATTAGTCAAATGTAACAGACTGTACTTCAATCATATTCTAATAAAATTCATGTCTGAAGCTTTTGCTGCTATTATCAGTGTTGGCCTTTACTAAAGGAAAAATGGAGCCTGTCTCTTCCCAGAGGCCATTTCCTTAAATTCATCTGTGCCCAATATGTTAAATCCGGCTTCACAAACTTCTTACGCCATTTAAAACTCATCTACTCTAAAGGGCAACAAGCAAATCTTTCATAATGCATGGTTCACTTTTTAAAATTCCATAGAAAACCCTGTACCTCAGAATCTCACTTTGAGAGCCATAGGGTTCTTATTTTATTAAAGCCTTTGAGAATCTTGCAATAGAAAAGCTTTAAACTCTGTCCGAACCAGCATTTCTCAAATTTATTTGACTATTAAATCCTCTGGCTGCATAGCAGTTATTAACATTCTGCAAAAGGCCATGGGGCTTTCTTTGAGAAAGACTGGCACAAATAATGCTTGGACCATGTCTCACGGTGCTAAAACATCTACAAATATCTCTGTGGCTAGCAGTAGTGATTGTACTTTCTGTTTACCAGGTGTAATCAAGTCCATACCAGAAGGAAAGACTTGATTGGCTTAGTCAATGCACTAGGGACACTGGGTAAATAAACCCAATATCCACCATGGAATAATTTGCTTCCATCCCCAGTTTTTATTTGTCACTGGAATTGGGCATCTGCTTTTGGGGATGGAAGCATCAGGTTGAGGTCTGGTCCAGAAACCCCAAGCCCCTACTAAGATTCTGTGATTCCTTGGGGTCCTTAAAAGTTCGGTATTACCAGCAATCAATCAGGAAACGTTAAAGTACTGACTACCTAGAAGAAAAAAATGACCTTTCAAGATTTGATATAGGGAATTCTCAAAGGTACCACAAATTAGTAACTTGTATTTCAAACTCTAGAATCATAATGATGTTTAGAAATCTCTTAAATTTAAATTTTCCATGATGCCTTATTTTAAAAAAACAATCAAAGAAATTCAAAGGTGGGCCATACTCCAATATTCAGTCTGACACAGGCTGGAAAATGAAATGTTGGGGGCCGGGGATTTAGCTCAGCGGCACTGTGCCTGCCTGGCAAGAGCAAGGTTCTGAGTTTGATTCCTGGTGCCGAACAAAACCAAATGTTGCTTTCTACAAATAAAACTTCTGCAGGCCAAAGGGGAAGAGCAGGCCCTAGTCTAGAAGTACGAGTTAGAAGTCATTCTAATGAGTCTAGAAGTACGAGTTCTTAATAAAAGAAGTTTCCTTAGCCAGGAGCAGTGGTGCACATCTATGATCTCAGCACTTGGGAGGCTGAGGCAGGAGGATTACAGGGAGTTCAAGGCCAGCCTGGGCTGCACAGTGACACTCTGTCTGAAAAAGCTGAACAAGGAATTAATTGATTAACTAATCAATTAGTTAAAATAAAATGTGTCCTTTTTAGTGACCAATGAAGAAGTCAGGTGTTTCACCTGCTTGCATTGAGATTTAAATCAAACACTGAGTGAGATGTCCACATTCATGAGCAACAGCACTTCCGTCTTCCTCGTTAAATCAGTCAGGGAAAGATTTCCAACAGAAGTCCAGCTTCACTTAGCTCTATTTACCACCAATAAGCAGAAAACATTATTGTACAATTATAAAAAGTTATTTATATGGATATGTCTCACAGGAAAATGCCATTATTACGTGTTCATTAGAGACCCCTGAGAACAGCTGTCACCATCCTGGGTAAGAGTCACCCCGCGTCCACTCTAGGGCAGCCGCTATGCTGTTTCCTGTCTATGAATTTGTCTGCCCAATGGTCTTTGTAATGTACAGACCCGGATCCAGGGTTCCGGGTGAGACCTGACAGCCCGCGCTCCTAACAGGCACCCAATAGTGTCCCTGCCGCAGCCTGAGCCCTGGAAACCTAGTTCCTCATCCTGTCTTTGTCTGCAGACAGCCATGTACTTCCCCAGCAGCGCTTGGCTTATTATGTGAATATAATAGACACAAAAAATACGAAAGAGAAAAATTCAATTACAGTGTTTTGGGGGATTAACCCAGGGGCATTCTCCATTGACCTGCACCCCCAGGCCTCTCCACTTTATTTTCTTTCTACATTGAGAGAGGTTCCCACTAAGTTACCCAGACTGACAAAGCTTGTGACCCTCCTGCCTCAGCCTCTTCAGTGTTGGGACTACAGGCATGGGCCACTGTACCCACCCAGTAGAACCTTTTTTACATAACTACTTTATATAAACCTGTTCAACTTATGATTTTCCTGTTTTGATTTATTACTTATTTTCACAGTGTCTGCTTAACCTTCTAAGTTTAGTGTATGATTGCTGAATAATATTTATCAAGTTAGTTAATTATAATATAGTCAGTCACAACCATTGAACAGCCAGGTGTATTACATTTTTTACATGTCAGTAAACCAAAAGTATTTACTCCATGCTGAAAGAGAGGCAGTAAGGCTTTGTGATAGTTTGGAAATTGGGATTTTTGAAATAAGGCCTTGCTATGTAGCCCAGGCTGGACTGGAACTCACAGCAATCCTCCTGCCTCAGCCTCCCGAGTGCTGGGATTACAGGTGTGCACTACCACACCTAGCTAGTCTGGAAGTTTGGCTGGAAGAGAATTAACTACATTGAATCCAAGTCACTCTTTACATGTTGTGGAACATTATCCCCTCGATTAGAGGGTAAGCCAAAAAGATTAAATAAAAGAAAAAGCTTTCAAATGATCCTAAAGCCGTACTTGGCACTATGTTTTTAATTACCTGTGTATGAAAAGTTGCTAATGTTCCAGAAAAGAGCTGATATTTTTACCTGAAGCTGGAGTCACCAGAAGTTTGTATCCACCGAACTTCCCCCGGGGAGCTTTCCAGGAGATCTGAACACTGTCCTCAGACAGCACATTGTATCTCAGCCTCGTGGGAGCAGACACTGGAAAGGAGATAGAGAAACACTCTAAATGTGCATAGTCTGCTGCATTTGCTGGCGGAATGGTTGAAGTGACATAATTAAAATACACAAGACCTTGTCAGCCTCAAAATACATTCTTTCCACAACACCATCACTGAGTTGATCAGATTGCAAAATAAGACAAAAGTACAAGCATTTGGTTTTCACCCAAGGAACTCCCATTTGCCAAATAGCACTGACCTCTGACAGTCTTAGGAGGCACTGCTCTGACTTCGTTTAACAATCAAAGCCAATCTTGTCAAACGCTTCTGTTAGTTGCAAGAGTGAATTATTCTCCTCGGAACATGCAAGCTTTTATGACCGATTCTACCGACCCATTGCCTGTAGGTTTTTCCCTGTGGGAATCCAGGGTTTGTGGTGCTAGGGTGCTTGCAGAGTATTACAGGCCCTGTTACACTAAGAAAACATTTGAGGAGACGATGACAAAAGCATCGAGGCACAGATGAAAGATGACTGCTTAGTAAACGTGGAGCCGCTCTTCAAGGACAGCTGATTTGCACCTGTCAGTCACGTGACGCATGGGTCATGATTCAGCCCAGAATACTCCATCTTTTTTTGCACATCACAGAAACGTGTGACTCTCTTTCCCTCTCGTGTAAGTCATTCAAACTTCAAGACATATTTTGGGCACGCTCCGTAACTGTTCCAGGATTTCAGAAGAAGTGCTTTAGTAAGAAGGCTTTTGTTATACAATATCTAAGTTCCTTTGTCAAAAAGCAAAGTTGGCGGAGAAGTCCGCGCTCATTTTCCGCTCTTCCCCACAGCATTTCCTCTCGCTTGCCGGGGGGGGGGGGGGTCCTGCTACACAGGCACTGGCATAGTATGGCACCTGGACATTCACTTGGCTCCTGGTTTTGTCACTTATCAGCTACATGACCTTGAGCAAGTGATTATTTTTTTCCGAAGCTGCAGTCTCCTTATTTTTACAAAAAGTGATCATATTTCTTTCTGCAAAGGAGAGCTATCACTTCAAACAGGAAAGTGGGCAGAATGTATTGGGGTGATTGATAAATATTTATCGCCCTTCACCCTTATTTCACCTAACTTTGAGCTCAAACGCTCTTCTAAACCCTTACAAGGAAACACTGCTACCCCAGTTTTATCAATAAAGGTTCAAAGGACCAGTGAAAATACTCACTCAGATTCACATGCTGATTTGCATTTCTCTAATGACCAGAGATATATTCATTGGCCACTTGTACTTCAGTGTGGAAATTCCTAAAAACACTAAAACTAGAAATTCCAGGGCTGAGGATTTAGCTCAGTGGTTCTGCTGCCTGACTCACAAGTGCAACGTCCCGAGTTTAATCCCTGGTACCAAAAAAGAAACCGCCTAGAGATTCCATTTGGCCCAGCTATTCCCCTTCTAGGAATCTTCCTGAAGGAGTTAAAGACATCATATTACAGGGATATGTCTGTAACTGTGTTTATAGCAGCACAATTCATAATACTTAAGTCTTGGAGGAGGCCTTGGAAGCACAGATAAATGGGTAAAGAAATTGTGGTACTTACACACAGTGGAGTACTACTGTGCCATAAAAAGTGATAAACTTGAGTTACTTGTAGATAAATGAATGCACCTTGAGACCATCATATTAAGCAAAATAAATCAGACACACAAGCTCAAATATCACATGGTTTCTCTCTTACTGAGAAACCCAAAGTATAAATAAAGTGAAGAAAAAAATAGAAGACAGATACTAGGAAACAGGGAAATAGATCTTTTGCAAATGGCAAGGGGACCGAGAGACAGAGGGAGGGAGGGAGGGGATTTAAAGTGGAGGAGGTCGTGTCGTGCACTCCCACCAACTCCCCATGGGGAGTGTAGACATTATGTCTACAAACATGCACTGTACTAGAAAAAATAAAAAGTAAAAACTAATTCACACCGTGTCAGCTAAGATGAAATGTGTACCCCGTGGCGGAAGGCGGCCCTGCTAAGTAAGGAGGCACGTTCCGCCAAGCAGGAGTGAAGGGCTGTGGCTGGGCTCTCGCCCTCCACCCTCCGCAGTCCGGGCAGGGTCTGCTCCCGTGCCTTCTTGCAGCCCAGGGCACAGTGGTGATCACATAGCTGGACCCCTGGCCTCGGTTCTCAGTGTGATGAGTGGGCAGAGGGTTTACACTGCTGCAGTTAATGGGACAGCCGAAAATTATCACAAGGACAACTATGGCAAGCGGAAGCAGAAGGTGGCTAACCCTAGCATTTGAGTGAACGGAGAAACCACTACCGTTTTGCCAGTTTTCAAACTGGGAAGAACTCTATGTGTTATGTTGTGTTGTTTTGTTTCAGTCAGGGTCTCGCTGTGTGGTTCAGGCTGGCCTCAAACTCTCGGCAGTCCTCTTGCCTCTGCTTCCCCAGAGCTGGGACTACAGCCATGTGCCACCACACCTGGCCTAGATAGGTTCTAAATACTCATGGGAGAAAATTTAAACTAAGAACTAAAAGACTCAGGTAACATGTCCACGTCCCAACATCCAGCCTAGTCTGGGGACCAGCAGCTGTCACTGGCCAAGCCCTTGCTGAATGTGCAAGGAAAGAAACCCCACATGGGCAAGCCCTACCGAGGTCCCGAGTTGCGGGGAACACGCTGAATCAGCCCACACCCTGGCAACAATCCACTGGACACCCCCCCCCCCCCCGGCCCCCCGTACAGCTACCTGGTTCCACACGACAAAGACGCAGAGGACACCAGACCACCAGACCACGGTACTGAGTCCCGCTGCTCCCGGCCCAGAGGTAGGGGCTTCTGAGCCACCTCCCCACTGCTCCTGGTCCAGAGGAAGGGGCTTCCCAGCCACCATCCCTCCCGCTGCTCCCAGCCCACAGGAAAGGGCTTTTGGGCCACCTTCTGTCC